CTTTTTTAGTTGGAAAGATTTGCTTTTTTATTTTTATTTTTATGAAAATTGTTTACTTCTTATACATACATATATATATATATATATATATATATAAATCAATTGATTATGTGTATTTAATACAATCATTACATTTGATCATTCATGAAGGTACCGTTTGGTACGTGGGACGGAACGGAACAGAGTGGGACAAGGCGTTCCATCCCACGTTTGGTGCGCCTACAACGGGTGGAACGAGCTGTTCCATGGGACGAGATTTGGGTGAATTTTCGTTCCATCCCACCCCTTGGAACGACTCGTTCCACATCCGTGGAACACAAAATTATAACCTCTTCGTCTCCTTCTTCTTTCACCTTGTTTCCATCCGAGGGCATCTTTGCTCCTGCTTTGTTCCATTTCGTCCTGTCTCGTCCCGTCCCGTCTGCATACCAAACGATACCAAAAGAAACCTAACTATATTGAGATCAAATTATATAAAATAGATTTAACGTCAAGTGAGGTCTTGATTCAATAACTTTGGACTATTGTAGCAAGACATCAATATAATGATAATCCACTCGCCTCACTCGCGGATGCCTCTATACTCTCCTGGCCCTACAAGTTTTTGGGCCCGCATGCCTGCCTCTTTCAAATAACTTTTACTGGGGGCCCACCACCAGTTTTGGTATTTCCTTTTTTATTTTTTTTTCTTTCCAATTTTGGTATTAGGCTTTCAGTATATGTTGATTTTGTTTTTGTATTTTCCTATTTTCTTTTTTTTTTCTTTTCTTTTTCGTGGTATTGGCTATTAGGGTTTTGTGGACGTTTTTACCACCAATATACCCGTTGGCTACACGTTTTTTTGTTTTTCTATTTTCAGGTTTTTTTTGTTTTTCAGGTTTTTTATTTCTTCTTCTTTTTTATTTTTTTTTTATTTTTTTTATTTTATCCGGAATTGCTTTCAATAACAACGCCAAGCCTGCTCCAACAATTTTGGTCTAGCAATAGGTGGCTGCTTCGTTGTTTTGGTTTGTATTGTGGGAGAGCAAGGTGCCGGGGAAATGTGAGGGAGAAGCTGGTGTTTGGGTTGCAAGAATAGTAGATATTTTGGTGTTAATATTGCCTGCAAAAATATGTTGTTTCGACTTGCATGGCCGGTTTTATGATATCTGTTTATGGAAAGGAGTCTAGAACGTTTGAGTTCAAATTTCTCTTTCCACAGGTTAAGTGAATTTAGAACATATTCAAATATGTTATTTCAACTTGCATGACCGGTCTTATGATTATTGTATGACACAAATAAAACGTGCACATGTACAATTGTGAAAGTCAAACTTGTAATGCGCACAAGCTACATGAACAAAAACAGTAACATTTTTCGTAAAATGTATATACGTGACCAAGTTTAAAAATATAGCTTGTCTACATACTTGCATGACTACATGGACAAAAACAGTAATAGTATCCATAAAATGTATAAAGTTGATTGCAAAAGGAATGCAAGGGTATGATGGTATTTTGCGTAAATATATATTCATATATTAGAGGATGGGACATAAATAGGAAAATTAAAAAATTCTACTATTTTTATTTTATTTTTCAAATGAAGCATTTGGTTGTTTCGTCAAGGCAATCTATTTTTAGGGGGGTCGAAAAGATTTATAGAGACATTTTAGCCTCCATAATCGCCATTGTATGATGCATCAACGTAAAAAATTGAACACAAGACATTACCTTATGAAACATTGAAGATTGATTGTGGTCAACGAATACCATATAGTGAAATAATGTGGAAAGAATTGTTTAGTCCTAATTTTCTTCCTCGGACACTTACCTGAGCTTCTGTTCTCATCCGTTTGATAAAAATCCCATGGTCGTAATTTAATATTGAAAGTTAAAATTGATATATAATTTTTTTCTTTTACATGGAAGTTTCCTATATGTTTCACTACTCCTCTTTTCTTTACGTCTCAATATTCTCCAGCAATTATTTAGCAGCCATGGATGAGAAGGAGAGATAGAGATCGAGACGGGCGATATTTAAGGGTGAGTTTAAGTACTTAATTAAATAGGAAAACTAATGAAAATGACTTGAAAACTTTGAGTTTTAATGATAAGAACAAAATAAAGGGTAAAATGTGAGTTTTAATCAGCATATATTCTTCATGTATTCTTGGAACAATATGGGTTCACAATTTTAGTTCCATAGCTTTGAATACCAAATGATGCAACAAATTCAAAAACTAGTTCACGTTGTTACACTCGTCTAACTTTATTGACAAAAATGAAAAACATCAACCTTGTTTTATGAAACTGGCGAGGTGAGTTAGACCAAAGTAAATGAGCATCCAACCAAATCTTTTTACTTCGAATCCGAACGACACCATTTTTGTCTCTCCACCTTTCATTGTTACAGTTGCACAAAATAAGGACAAACATGATTTTCATAGAATGAATTTTGTGTTACAGTTGAATCCCAAACTTGTTATATGAGAATAGTATGATATTTATTATTTCGATAAACTCGTTTTGGAGTTGCTTATTAATTGGTTCCTCCTATAGGCTCTGTTTACTTCCTTTCCACCCCAAAACCCAGCAAAAGGTCAAAAATTTCAGTGGGTATCTCTGTTCCGTGCTGGGTCTGCGTTGCCCTGCTTGGTGTGCAGTGCAGTACTGGGTGTACTGAGGGGGACGAGTGCTGGGTCTGCGTTGCCGACACCATCACAATATTTCAGTAATTTTCTGGGTCACTAAAATTAGTGTATATATCTAATTTTAAATTGACTTGGTCATTGCTTGGTCTTCCACACCAATCCAAAAACAAGGCTAAATTGGTAAATTCATCAAAACCTGGTACGCAACCAGCAGAAAAGCCAGCCTGTTCCCTTCCCTCCCAACCCCCACTTAAACACCATGACCCAACCACTCCCACCCTCACCAGAGAAAAATGCGTGACAGAGTCCTCACCATAACATAACCTACATCCTCATTTTCCTCCTCAGTATAGCCACCTCACTCTCCATATACCCTCCTCCCAAATCCCACTTCTTGTGCTCAACACACACACACACACACACACAATTGCAATTTTGTGTAAATAATCGAGAGATGAAGTCATTATTCGTTGTTTTGAGGATTACGAAGCAGGAAATGAATTCAGTTTTATTTATTAAATTGATTAGTGTACAATATTCATGTTAATTTGGAGAAATTCTTAATTTGCTTCTCGATTTATAGCTAGATCGCTTCTTAAAAAATAAATATTTGTATATTATAAAACATAAAATAAATACATGTAATTAGCATGGGTGCATATATTCAGCAAAAATAATATGGGTACAAATCAAATTAAAAAATATGGGTACATATTAAATTTAAAACTATGGGTACAAATTGAAATTAAGAAGAATATTGATCCAAATTTGAAAAATGATACAAATTAAAAGTAGAAATATATGAAACAGACAAACAAATATGGGTACAAATTGAAATTAAAAAGAGTATTGGTACAAATTTGAAAAATGAGTACAAATTAAATAAAAAAATTTGAAAAATTCTAAAAAGATATATCTAGAAATAATTAATAAGTTTTCCATCTTTTGAAATTGACATAATATGACATGTAATAATTTAATATTCAAATAATGATATGGACAAAAGTAAAAAGACCTTGATAAGATTGAAAAATGAGAAAGGTTTCAAATTTCAATTAATGAAAATGAAAATTAACGAGAGATAGAAACCTAATGTTAATTAGTGGGAAATGAAATGAGAGATAAGAATCTAATTTATGCATATATTCACTCCTTCCCAACCAGAGGTACACACGCAAGTCAAGAGCCATAGGCTAGTTAGGGTTTCTTCAAAACTTTCAGAAGAAGGTAACTATCGAAGCACGGTTGGTCACTGCTCTTGTGGTTGATAATCAATTAAAATCCCAAATACTACTCGGCCGAGCCCTAAAAATCTTCAGAAGGCGAACCCTAAAAATCCTCCCAAGTGGTCTCATCAAATCCTTGCCATGCATCATAAGGGACTTGCGACTTCATTTTCCGTCATGCTTCAATGGGATTCTTCAAAACCATTTTCCCTCTTTTCAGTATATAGGGATTGCTATTTCTACGTTTATGGAAAGACAATCAACGGCAATCATGTTGTATTCAAAACACAAACACGTGTAATTATTTATTTAAAAGTAATGCTTTTCATATCATGTTTTTATATCACATTTCTGTACCATCTCAGGTGGCATATGATGTGGATAGCTACATCATTTGAAAAATTTGCAAAATCGAAGAAAATGAAGGAGAAAGACTCCTTGTATACTACAATCATCAAATAATGAACTAAATTTAAAAATTTGATTAATTCAAATGATGTGACTGTCCATATTAAATACCGCCTAAGATGATATGAAAATGTGGTACAAAAAACGTGTTTAACATCCTATTCTTAGCATAAGGTCATGCTTGGAAAGACCGTTCATTACACTGAACCACATTAAGACTAAAGGATTTCGAGTGTTCAAACTGGAGTGTGATATTGATGGTGGTCCACAATGGATGGAGGTTGTTGAACTTGGTGATCGGGTATTATTTGTGAGCAACCTTCATTCCGCCGTTATATCGTACCCCCATGGTTAGAATGTTGAAAGAAACAGTATTTATTTAACCTTTAATTACCCGTGTTACGAATCAACCGAATGTAATTTTGGAGTATTTTTTTTCACAAATAAGAGTATTAGGCATTTTAGTTGCCCCAAGAGTCATTCTTCGTCCCAGTTTCATACTGCACCTTTTTGGTTTGTACCCAATCTTTGATAGGTTAGTTTAATTAAATTTTGTTTTGTTTCCCTCTTTTAGCTGGAAAGATTTGCATTTTTATTTTTATTTTTATGAAAATTGTTTACTTCTCATACTTATATGCACTTAATACATATAATAATTCATCAAAACCTGGTACGCAACCAGCAGAAAGGCCACCCTGTTCCCTTCCCTCCCACCCCCACTTAAACACCATGACCCAACCACTCCCACCCTCACCAGAGAAAAATGCGTGACAGATTCCTCACCATAACATAACCTACATCCTCATTTTCCTCCTCAGTATTTTGGATATCAGTGGACGGAGAGGGATGGTGGTTTGTGGTATTAAGTTTTAGGTTGAGGTAGTTTTGCACCAGTATACCATTCACCGTGGCTACATGTATTTTGATTTTCTATTTTCCTTTTTTATTAGCTCTATATATACAGCTACATCCTCCATTCCCTCACTCACTCACTCACTCACTCACTATATACAGCTACACAGTCCTCCACTCGCTCACTCGCTCACTCACTCTCTCTTCCTCTTCTATTTCTCTCTCTTAGCTCTCTAGGATCACTGCCTGTCTCCTTCCTCTCTTTCGCTCCCTCCCCCTCGCTGCCAACGCCTCTCTCTTAGCTCTCTAGACTCACTGCCTCTCTCCTTCCTCTCTTTCCTTCCCTCTCCCTCGTTGCCAACGCCATTCTCTCTTAGCTCTCTAGACTCACTGCCTCTCCTTTCTCTCTTTCCCTCCCTCCCCCTCGCCGCCAACGCCTCTCTCTCTTAGCTCTCTCTCCCTCCCTCCACCTCGCCCCCAACGCCTTTCTCTCTTAGCTCTCTAGAATCACTGCTTGTCTCCTTCCTCTTTTTCTCTCCCTCCCCCTCGCCGCCTACGCCTCTCTCTCTTAGCTATCTAGACTCACTGCCTCTCTCCGTCCTGTCTTTCCCTCACTCCACCTTGCTGCCAACGCCTCTCTCTCTTAGCTCTCTAGACTCACTGCCTCTCTTCTTAGCTCTCTTAGCTCTCTAGACTCACTCCCTCCCCCTTGCTGCCAACGTATTATCATGCATTAGCTATAATTATCCCTTCCGTTTACACAGCAATTTTCTTGCTTTTTGTCCTCCTAGACTCCTGTTTATATTACCTAACATTAGGAGCACCGGAGGATGGGGAGGGAAACGATAAGCCGGGTCAACAACCAGGCCGCGGCCATGGCCGTGGTCGACAAGGGCACGGTGGCGGTGGTCAACAAGATGTCCGCGGCGGTGGTCAAGAAGCTGTTGCTGAACCGGTGGGTGAACTGGAAATGAAATTTACCAAAACAACCGTATGCTTCCATTTTTTTCAAGGTTTTTTTTATAGTCCCATCCATTTTATTAATTCCAGCTGTCGTGGCCAAAATGTCCTACCTATATTACTTTTGTATCACAGCTGCATTTATGTTCTGTGATGTAATTATGGTGGTGATAATTCATTATTATAGGAAAGAAATCACCTCAAAGATAGTAAGATTCTTAAGAATAGGGTGCATCAGGGAAGCAGTGGAGATATTCTTATGGGCTCTAGGTCTCTATTTACAAAATATAATAGATCCCGAATGCATAATTTGTGTTTATTCCCTATTATGTTGTTCATACTACCTGATTTCTTTTGTCTTATTTTTTAGACATAGTAGAGCCCTAAGTTTTCTTGACTTTGCCCTATGGATAAATGCCGTAATTCTAGTGCATTTTATAAAGTTGATGGACAGTGGAAAAAACCTTAAAGTATATGAATATGCATTATTCGGGCTTTCCATTACAACTTGCATCTCTGTAGTTTTATTTAAAAGTCATCAAGAGACTGTAATTGAACGGATTGAAAATCCATGGACCTTTTTTTCATATTTAGGCGTATTTATCTTCACCCCTACTAGGCAATGGGCCGAACATCGGTTTAATGTGGTGAAAATTTGGTGTAGTGCAGCTATAGCTGTGGCTGTCACTAGATTTAATTCTTGTTGGGTTGCAAACATACCTCAGGAGGATAGCATTTTGGTTCCCGGTTTGTGGGCACAGCCGGCACTTTACAGGTTTAACTAAATTTATTTTGTTAGGTTTTAGCTTAAATTTATTTTCGGCAAAGATTTTTATCGATGCCTAGCACCCTCATTTTCAGTTGTAATTTTAGTCTTACCCATGTATTAAGCTTAATATTAATATAAATGAATGTTTCGTTTGTTATTGGATTTTTTAAGATGCTTTTAATGACTCGGTATATTACTTATCCAGCCTCTTATCTTTTCTCTAAGCTTAAACAGTGTGAAGCGATATATAATATATTCATTTAGTAACAAAAAAACATGCAAAAAGTTCCGCGCGTTAACGTAACTTGAAGTCATCCATGCAAAGTTGATGATTGAATACTAAAGTGAGACAATAATTCTACCAGTCAAATGAAATTCCCACGTAATCCAAGGCTGCCCACCCTTAAAAATGCATAAATGAAACATTACAGAAAGTTGTGACCGGATACGATATAACTTGTCGGAAAAGGAATTGTATCTCTCCTGAGCATAAGGTGATGATTCTGAGCATAAGGCGATGATTTATTTGATTAACAAATATGTATTGTGAGATAAAAATTCAATAATTACAAATAGATAATCATTTTAAAATTATAATAATTATAATTGTTAGATTTTTATCAAACGATCTATATTTTTTTATTCTCAACTGGGTTCGGAAAGGGGTCAATTCCGTTCGAAAATGCTAGACTGCCCGCCTGCAGGCAATCAGACATGGATTGTTACATCTAATCAGTCATAGCTTGTCACATCGTTCATAGACGTAGGTTCAACTATTGTTGCCAAATAAAAGATGTGGAAATAAAGAATTTTGTTTATGGTCAGAATCCAAATAAAGGTTTTACATACAATATTACCATTGTCCGTGTCAAACGATTATCACTTACTAATTTTCTCTACTTCTTGAAGTTTCAATATCTAATGGTGGATACAACATTTGGTTTGTGATAAAGATGAAATTATTATTTCAGGGTAGGTTAGAGTTCAGCTCATTTGATATTTTAATGATTTAAATAATAAGATTCAACTAGCGGTCTAAGTCGGAATGGGTTTTTAATTTTCGACAGTAAATTTTTTGAATCCGTACACAAAAATTTCGAATATGAATGTTTTCTCAAAAGTCGAAATGAAAATCAGAATGCATTTAGCAATTCTGATAACCAGGAATTCCCGATATAAGTTTTTTCAAAGTGCGCACGTAACTTATTCCGATACCAAAATGTTTTGATTTCTAATAGTTGTCTACTCAATTATAAAATGTGTTATCAACTCTGTATTTTAGTTTTAGATATAGTTTGTTCACTATTTTTTATATTAATCATACTTGTATCTTGTATATATTAAAATGAATAATCATACTTGTATATCATCAAATAAATGACATGTAATAAAATTGAGAATACTCAAAAGCTTGTAAAAATATATGAACTTCCGAATTACGTGCTGAAAAATTTGAGTTTAAAAGTTGTGTTCCGATTCTATTTCAAGAGAGATTTTTTAGTGTGACCGTCACATGAGGTGGTATATCACGTATATAAATGGTGGGTTATATGTGTTAAAAGGTTAATAACTTAAAAATTAAAATTTTTCACCACTTGTATAAAAACACGTGGTGTACCATTCATATTCCCGTCATAACTAAAAATTTCTCCTATTTCAAAATTACAGGTCAAAAAGTAAAAACGTAGTTTCGATCCGATCCACTCCGAAAACACCCCTGAATTAAACTTACGTTCAACCATATGTGACTTATACGGTCAACCATGTCACGAAAATGTTTAAATGAATTAGTAATGCTATACTGCGGACACAACCGAGCGTCTCCATCCATTGGTTATGCAGGACCACGGTCGTGACCGTTGGATGGTTGAGACTTTTATTTCAAGGAGTTTGATCATGTAGTTGAAAGAGCGGTGTGCCTTTTCGACAACCTTGGAATAAGATCGACACGGATTTTGGTTTTGTTTCTTAACAAAAAAGATAATAACAAAGTTTTGTCTATTTGTATTAGAGAAAATTGAATAAGACAATTTGATAAGTTAAATGGTTATGCACGCCTACAAAAGAACGGGTTTTAGTAGATGGTGAAGTCAAAAATTCATTTTAGGAGGGACAAATTTAGATTGGATAAATGAAATTTCATTTTCATAACTTGAAATATATAGAAATATAGTCCCGTTATTTTGGTCGATCATCCTGCTGATTGAGGATACATTGTAACTCACCATTGATTTTAATATCAAGAGTTGAGAATAAACATTAAAAACATATCCATTTATATTTATTCTTGATATCAAATTTAAGACAAGTGACCCTGAATTCATTTTCTCCTATTGACCTTGTAGAAACATAAAAGTATGAGAGAATTTGAAGGGTTTTGTTGTGCTAATTTGGACACGAGAATTCTTTCTCTTGATTTCGTAGATTCTATAATATAGGGAGATGAGAAACTGAGCAAAATAATAGAGTCCACAAACGAGGTGAATTATTTTTATATTGGTCAAATTCAAATTGAAAGAATGTAGTAATAGTTTATGAGAAAAACTTTGAGAATAGACCTGAGCCAACCTTGGTCGGTGTCTCCGACTCTGTTTTTAGTGTATTTGTTTACCATCCGAGTCTAATTGAATTTAAATCTGCACAATTCAATATGAATGTCATAACTATCTAGGATATGAATTGATTGTCGTTTGCATAAACGATAATTGTTACATTAGCCATCAATGATAAATTACACTGATACCGCTTAAAGTTTTAATTAACTTTCAAAATACACCTTTGGTTGAAAATTTGTCTATAAAAGAACAAAATTATCCTTATAATGAATTACTTAACAAAATAAAATACTTTTATAAATAAAGAAAACCAAATAAAAAATTACATTAAACATAAGAAAATACAAAAATTGATAGAATCCCTCCATCATATCTGAATGCGTTTTCTTGACCCGGTATTGCACAAACAAATTGTTCGATCTATATTCAATTATAAGAATTCTTCTAACACCATCTCCAACCCTTGAGTTTTTTTTTTTTTTGAATAAACGATATTATCTACACTAAGACCATCTCCAATCCTAACCTATAACCTATTTTTCCCCTTTTATTCCCTCCCAAATTTCAACCCAATCCAAGAGGAAAATTTGACCTAAAACCTATAGACCATCTCCAACCCTTGGGCTAGAACCTAAAATTTTTAGCTCAGAAAAAACTTTTCTGCTCCAACCCTTCTAGCCTAAATTTTTTAGCATGAGATTATTAAAGAATAAATTTAAGCTAATTTTTTTTTTAAAGAAAAAAAATATGTACACTATCATAATTTATTTCAGGCTAAAAAAATTTAGGTCATAAGGGTTGGAGCAGAAAAACTGTTTCTGAGTTAAAACCTAAATTTTCTGGGATAAAAATTTTAGGTTTTAGGCCAAGGGTTGGAAATGGTCTAAGGGGGAGGGGATAGCCTAAGCAACAAGGCATGCACTAGGAGTCAAACACACACATTTTCTGGGCTAAAAATTTTAGATTTTAGGCCAAGGGTTGGAGATGGTGTAAGGGGGAGGGGATAGCCTAAGCAAAAAGGCATGCACTAGGAGTCAAACACACACACACACACACACACACGCACACACACGCGCGCACACACACACACACACACATATATATGTATAGATCCGATTCTATCCTCTTCTATTTTTCTTTTTCTTTAGTCCCGTTCTATTTGGACTTTTACAATTAAGCTATGTCAACACTTTGTGTTGAATTCTTTATTAAAAAAAAACGAAAAAGAGGAAAGTGAAAAAAGAGAGGAGAGGCGAGGAGAGGAGGAAATTTAGAAGGAAGCGAATCCTACTCCTATATGAAATGGAATATATCAGATAACCAGGCAATTAAGTTAACAACTTTTGGATATAAAGCACTCTCACAAGAATCTGCTTATGCTTCAATAGAAGTAGCAATGGGAAATATAGTCTCATTGAGGTTTTGATGCCTCGATTTGGATAGATTTAGGATTTGATGCCTTCAAAATCTTTGCTACGATATAAATTTTCAGCCAAGAAAATCTTCTCTAGACACGTCATGAGCCTTCGAAAAGTTGTGCTAACTCCAGTTTAAGAATATTGACTGAAGAATTTGGCCTTAAAAAAATTGGTGTTGACTTTGATGACGGAATACTGATTGGGCCTTCCAAAACACTGGTGTTGGCTCCGGTATAATGGCTCGATCAGTTATTGGTGTGGAAATTGGTTTCTCCTATGACCTCGTATGAGGACACTTGTGAGGGGTTGTTGGGTTTTTGAGCATATAATTGCGATTTTTATTTAACCGAATAATTAAATACACAGTAAAAAATAAATAAATAAACATAATATGTAATTTCAATTACATATCCATTTGGTTGTCATTCAATAATACAAGAAAGAAGATGGTGAAGAGATTAACTTAATCCTTATAGCCAGGTGTGCACCACTTCGTAAGATCATTTTTGTGCTTGTGTTCTTCCTCTTCATGATTAATCATGAGAAGCTTTCTAAGTGTTCAACTTCTAAGAGTATTCACACTTATACACGAACGACGGATGATGGAGTGAACCATTCGATTGTGCTAATAAGATCACTCACTTGGAACAATAGAATCGGCGGCACACTAGGAGGCTTTCTGCTAGGGTTTTCTCCTTCTCTTTTATTTTTTTCTTTTCTTTTTTCTTTCGTTCTGAGGTACAAAACTAATTGCATTCACAATAACATTAGGGATATATGAGAAAACGCATGGATATTTATGATATCCCATGCCACACCTCCTTGTAGGGTTTGACGCCATGGGCTTTGTCCCACGCGTCTTGTTCAATCATTTTTTACTTTGGACTTGTAGTTTGGACTTCTTTTAATTAAGGGATGTGATATTCACATATCTTATTTTATTTTTCACACATTTTTCTAATTTTCAGTTATCGGATCGGATAAATTGAATAAAATTAAAGAATAGAAATTAATAAAGGGTATATAAAAAGTAAAATGAAATATGTGGATAGCACACCCCTTAATTAAATAAATCTTGATGCGTATTTTAATTAAATCATGTCCAATAAATTCAAATAATTAATTTCAACAAGGGTGTGTTTGAAAATAGGATCTCACATCATGCATATGATAAATAATATACAATTAA